CACAGTGATTAAGACCTTTTCAAAATATGCAGTTGCTCTGACAGACAAACAGCTCTTTCAGATCTTTGGCAAATCTTGGGCTAACCAAATCTAAAATCAATTTTAACACATTAATTGAAAGATGTAAAGGCATGTCAAAATACAATGGGAACAGATACCTGGATGTAAAAATATTTCATCATCAATCCCTGTACTTGACTCTATTTTTCCCCTCTACTCAAATGAAATTTGTTTTTGAAACAGCATAGAAGTTTCTGCTCCCCAAATCTGCAACACTATCATGTTTTAAACTTTAGGCCATAAAACTTCCCAGTTTGTCACGGGTTTTCAACTGTCCCATTAAGCAGTACGTGGTTTGATGAGGTCAGTGTTCTTGTTCTTTTTCTGTAAAGCACCTGGCACAATTAAGTCAATGAACAGATCTCCCAGTCATTACAGTCACCCATAAATTCTCTGTGAACTAGAAGCCAGGGTAGGAAGCAAACCTGAGCAGCTGAACAGGATGCTGGTATCAAACCCTTTTGCCATCTGATTTCTTCCAGTGCCATTGGTGCATCACTGATCTCAGGCTCCCCTGAATGACCCTCAGCACAGCACAGCACTGCAGCAGGTCAGCGGGGCAGAGGAAGAGGCGGCACACCAAGCTGCAGGGTGGGGCAGCCATGCTTCCACCACCCTAGGAAAGCACCCACATGCCATCACTGCACTGCCACAGGACTCAAAACAGGGAGCACTGGCAGCTGCAAAACAGATGATGATGTGTGGAAGGAAAAAGCAGCAGGGAAGTCCTGGACAAAAGCAAGTAGGCTAAGCATATGTAGAGTGTGAAAGAGAAAGCTCTTCTTCCAGGAACTGCACAGGTGTCAAGGAAAAAGAAAAAAACAAACCAAGCAATAAATCAAAAGTTGAATCAGCCATCAGTAGCATGAGACAAACCTGAACAAAAGCCAAGAGTAAGAATACAAAAATACCATTTGACACCCTTCTTACAAATCTAGATCTGAACATATGAAACACAAACACTTCCACCTCCTTTTTATATTAGGATTCCAAAAGAATATACACATCTTCACAAAATGCATTTAGTTGCCATATAATATACTTGGATTTAAATGAAATTTGCACTTCGAAAAAATTTTTTAAAAAAAGTTATAAGAATATTCCCTCACATTTCTCCACAGAATTTCTTCTTTAAAATGTAACAAGCAAAGGGCACAGAGATTGGACCTAAAAAAGCATTTTTTCTCCTGATGATACTCTGTACATTTTTCTGTATTTACACTGAAGTAAATGAGCATAAGTCTGAAGAAATTAAACACTTTCCAGTGCTAAAATCAAAACATAAGCATACAATTTTTTAATTTCAGTATTTTAAAGTACAGAAAGTGGAAACTATGAATATCAAATACAAATTTAAACAAAGCCACTTATCCTCCCCTAGAATAATCAATGTGAACTACTTATAGAAACTTACAAATTTAAAGTAAAATCAAAACAAAATAAATACTGTACATACACTTTCCCTGCCTGCAGGCAAAAGAGGATGGGAAATACTGTTATGAATTGAAAAAAAAAGCTCTTAAAGCTGCAGCATCCCATTTCCCAGCCAAATACTTAACACAGTAGTGCGTTTCTGTAAAAAGGAAGACACACATACACCGACCCCTACTGAGCAGACAAGCTAACATTTTCAGAAACATTAAGAAGGAAAGATAGAAATTAGACTATGAGAGTAGAAAAAGGAGGAAAAGACAAATGGGCCAGCAAAACATTACTACAAAACTAGTAAATATAGCCAAGAACTAGCCCCGTTTTTGCTTTTCTTTTTTTTTTTTAAATTCCGTGTTTGTCTTTTTTTTAAAAAAGATTCACCAAAGCATTGGCAGCAACAGACATTTCCCAGCAGAAGTGACAATTACATATCAATATAATCTCTTAAAGTGATCCCTTTCATTCCCTTCCCACAGCATGAAACTCTTATGGCTTAATTTATATTAAAAGTAGAAAAAGTCCTTTCTTTCCAAACAGAAATGCACTCTATGAAGAACATGCATCTCCTTATCAGTGCTACTTTAATTTCCCATCCACTGCATGACTTATCATTCATACTCTCCCACAAAGAGGGTTACCAGGGTTGTTTCTTTTTGGGTTTACTTTTTGGAAAAATGGATGTTGCAGCTTTTCATCTTGTTAACGATAAACAGTAAGGCCCTTGGTTCCATTTATATTTCTTCTGTCAAAGAGTAGTGCTGGGCTCACTCAGCCCCAGGACTACCAACAGCTTTTAATGGTCTGGAAGTATTATGTGAATGACACTCTGGAAAGACAAAAGGCTTGGGGGTTGTGGTGGGAGTGTGAAGGGACAGGTGGGCACGTGGAGCCTAAAGAGGGCACTAGTCACTGGGTCATTCTAGTTCTGCTTAGTCTCCACAGCTACCAAAAGGGGGGTAGGCAAGATTCCCACCAGCTCTGGCTTTGAAATCCTGCAAAAATTTTCAACACTCGCAACTTTATGGTCTCATGAATAAAGACAGCTTATGTCTCAGAGCAAAGCCAAAGTGTCCAAAATGTGGTCGTGACACTGTGCTCTTTTACATCTCTACCAAAGGTAACACAAGCACTTCAACCACCAAAAATTAAAAAAAAACAATCAAAGCCCCAACCCCCCCGTGTGATCAGAAAACAATTTTAACTCTCAACATCTAACCCTTCCAAAATTTTCTTTAAGAATGAATTCATGTAGAGTATTATAGGTTGCATAGGTAATCTACCTCAGAGGTCAACAAAGGCTACCCTGTAGCCAGGGTTTATTAGCAAGTATAATAGGAGAAGAAAAGGGAAAGTTGCTGGAAGAATCTTTGATATAGTTTCTAGGTGGTCTTTCCATTTTCATATTTGTTTCTTGTTTTGCAATTGTAGGAACATGAGAACTTAAGAGAGTGTGAAAACCCCTAGAATATTTCATTTCCTATTGTTCTGCCTACAAAACAAAAATATGAAATTGAGTTTTATGCCAAATGCAAGTTCTTTGACTTTTCAAAAAAGATTATCCTTGAAAACAAGTTACCATAGCAGGCATCATTTGCTGTTGTCCAGCCAGTGTTCCGTACTCCCTCCCTCTTCCACCCCAAGTGAGACAGCAAGGAAAAAAATTGGGCTTTTTCTCTCCACTACAACAACACAAGGTTCAGTCCATCTACAAAAAGACTGGTGCAGAAGCGATTTCAGCTAGAATACAATAAATATATCTCTACATACAAGTACACAAAACAAGCGAGGTCACCACATCCTCTTCGTGAGCTACCAGGAGATTTCTTTTTTTCTCCTTTGTTGTTTTCCTTTTTTTTTTTTTTTTAATACTGCTCAACATGGCAATTTCTTTTGAATTACTTGATTTAAGTTGGAACATCAGATTTAACTTCTGCTGGAAGCATGGATATTTGAAGAAAATGGGAATGCCTGTTGACAGCCTGTGAAGAGACTATTACATAAATTCATGACAGTGGAGAGCCACTCAAAAAAAAAAAAGTTGGAAAATTAGAGCAATATAAAGGATAAAACCAAGAAGAAATAATATATATGGGTCCAGCCATATCTATAATTCAACTGTAAGATACAGATAAATAGCATGGATGGTCAGAAAAGAGACTTTGTATAAACCAATCACATGTACAAGAAAGGATACTCTGTATTTTAAAATTCCTTACTCCAGATTCTATTCTGGCTTACTTTTACTTCAGACAAAAATCTGTCTTTAAGGAGAGAGAACTCATTCTTTATTCTGCTCTGAATCTGATTGCTGCCCTAAACTGGATTTTTCTATCATTAGAAATTGCACAGCCAGCAGGAAGGAAACAGTTTGGTTCAATATACTAAAGCTAAAACAGCTTCCAAATCCTGGCAGGCATTAAGCCATTTGCTCAAGTTTAAATGAAGAGAAAATTTATATGGGTATAGAATTTTAACTAATATTGACAACATAGTTTATTTCTTTGACTTACTTTGGTGAGAACATATTAGAAGATAGTTAAAATATTCTCTGTTAACTATTCCCATCTAGAAAACGTAGCACCTGAGAACAGCAAGTCCTTATAGTCATTTTCAGCACCTGAAGAATATTTCTTAGCTTATCTTCTGCATTTTAGAAATCTTTGATTACCTCCATTCCCAATATTATAAAGGTTGAGAACTTGTGTTAATTTAAAAAAATTAAAAGACTTTAACTTGGTTTGGTGCAACATTATTTAACGAACAAAAAAAAAGTTTAAAAACTCACCCATACAAGTCACAGAAGAAGTTAACTCGTCATAATATAAAAGTAGGACTGCAAAAAACACTCCTAAACTATCATTTTCAAGCTCCAAAGTAAAGCTATGAAAGCTACCTGACTTTTTTGCAGTGGCACTATATTTTGATGTTTCTCCATTTAGAAACAGGACAACATAGTGCTAACTGGTTCTGACCCTGCAGCAATAAAGAACACCTGACATCAGCACTATTTCCACAAATTATTAAAAGCATTTATAATCTAGCCTAAATAACTCTGCACAAATATTCTAGAAAATAAAACTGACTTTGTTTTTAACCACAAGAAGATAGAAGATTCCAGTATAGGATATGGAGGAAGGAAAAACTGGTGTGGAAAATTAAAATCAATTTGATGACTTGGAGAGCTATGCAGGAGTATTTTTACTCTTACCAATCAAAAAAAGAAAAAAACCCAACCAACCAACAATATTGTTGTCATTAGTATACTGACATTTACATTTTGGCTGGACCCTGCAAAATGCCCTTTTTCCAGAATCATGTAAAAGAATTCCCCTTTCTGTCTTCATCCCCATCCCTCAAAAGTTAAATATTTCATTTTATATTACAGAAAAATACAAATCTTAAATCAAAATTATTTACAATAATTCAGAATTGGCATTTGCTATCAGCTCTGTTTGAAGCCTGACACAAATGTCATTCTGATACCAGTAAGCTACTTAAATGCTTATATATATGGACCAGTTAAGACTTTTAATTTGCTGTCTCACCCAGCTTTGAAAGTAACACATGTTCTTCTGTTTTCATGACTCCTCAGTAAAACATGTTTAGCGTACAATAACAACACTTTAATGCTTCTTCCATGCTACATTAAGTGAAATGCCAAATCTTTTAACTGCAATGTGTATCTTATGAGTTATTTGAGAGCAACTGTTCTGAAGAAACATTTATCTTAACTGATGTCCCCGTTCCTCCAAAAGATATATTGGGTCTTCCTCCTTTGTACCAACTCTTAAATAACTAGTACAAATACAATTTCAGGGAGTTTTTTTTACAGAAGAAAATCATCACACACAGATCATCAGGAGGAAAATATGTACTCAGATTTGGAGGAAAGAGGTGCACTTTAAATCAAGTTAGCTACTGGACCAACATAAGAAAATTCTTCTGTCTTTAGGAGTCTCTTCTAGTCCATTAAATAAATAAATCTGATATTAAAAAGGACAGGTCAAAAAATAATCAAGCTGGCAGAAAATATGCAACTTGCAAGTCAACAGAAGCCCAGCCAATAGCCTACAAAAAGCAGGAAAAAAATAAGATTCCTTATGCCTTAATTTAAAAAATAATTAATAATGCATCTCACCCCTATTTAAGACTATAACCTGAATATCAAATTTAGGAGTCCAGACTAATCACAATTAATGTGGCTCTCCACTGCACCAAATACACATTATCAAAACAATTTAAAACTTTCACATTATTACATCTAAATTAATAACCCCCCACAGAAAGTCTTCCAAATAAATAGTTTCTTAAATGAATTTTAAAGTTGTGAAAAATCTATCAGAAATAAATTATTGATAAACCACCTTCATCATCTTCCCCTCATTAATTTAGGTCAGAAACTACCAGCAACAAATTATATTCAAGCCCTGATGAGAGACTATTTCTCACAGTCCGTGTCTCTCTGAAGATTTCCCCGTTCCCGTATGGTTATTGCTGAGCAGGTGTGGCACAGTGAAAATGCAGCATTGGGTTGGTTTTTTTTGTGGTTTTTTTTTTTTTCCCTTTTTTTTTCTTTTTCTTTCTTTTGTTCATCAGGCAGAGTTTTCTATGGTACATGCAAGTCTGCTTCAAGCAGAGGAATAACAGCAGCTCCAGGCTCTGTTGCCCTCAATACTGGTCTGTGTAGGAAAGACAGCAGTAGTAGAAGTAGCAGCTACATTAAACAAAGAAGCGTGCATGGCCATTCCGGTTCAGCTTCAGGATCTTCCCAAGGCGCTGTTTAGCAGTTGCCATTCCTTTCTTTGGACGTTTGCCTGAAAAACCCAAGCAGGGACTTCAGTCAGGAATTTCAGGATGAAATTTAATCATTGTAGAACAATGGTGAAACCCAGCTTTCAAGCTGAAGCAAGCAAAATTTTCACCAGAATCAGTTTAAAAAACAAACAGGGAACCAGAATAGTTAAAAAGAACACCCCCAGGAACTGTTTTCCCTAAACTCTGACTAGAATTATCATAAAAGAAATTAGTACATTATTTACAAATATTTCCAGTCTATGAAACGCAGTGGGTGTAGTAGGGGAGAACTTAAACTGAGCTTACTGAATTTTACTTAAGTTATTCCCTTGAATAAATTACAGAACATATACCAGAAACTAAACCTACATAGTAAGCTCATCAGACTATTTCTAAAGTGTTAAGAGTTTCTAAACCTTCATTTCAATAAGCAAATCTGATTCAAGCCAGTTTGATCTCTCTTAATTCCACCTCCCCATATTCTGTGCCAAAATTGGGAGTGTCCACAGCACGCTCACTTTGTGTTTTTCCTCAAGGTCTAATTCTGTCCTTTACTCAGTTTCTGTATTTAGTATTTTGCTTCCCTCCCCCAGCCCACTTTGGCACGGGGATGGAGAGAAGCATCACCTTTTGTTGCCTGGTTGCTGATAGGGGGTGGATTTGATGCTGGCCTCTTCATTGGGTGCAGTGGTACAGACAAGGATGTTTCACCATAGGGCCTGTCAGGGCTAAGGCTGCCATCACTCAGCTGACATTCTGCTTGCATCAGGCTGGAGTCGCGTGTGTATCTGCCATGCTGAAAACTCAAGCTGTTGCTGTGGACTATGCTTCTGTTTTCCTGAACCTTAAGACTGGCTTCTGAGGCACCCTCCTTCTTGATATATTTTTGAGTTTTATTTGCATCCTAGTATGGAAATGAGAAGAAAAGATGTGCAAGTTAGTAGCTTCTGGCTACAGGTTAACTCCAGTTTTTCCAATTACACTGTTTTGTCTTTGAAGCAGGTATTTCAGTTCCACCTGTATCTGGCCATTTTATGAGTCCACCATTTCTTTTAGAATAGATAACCTCTTAAAGGTAACAGATTTTGTACAACCTCTTCCATATACACCTAAGGGCAGTGCTACAGTTTAAGTACACATACTAATGTACTCAATTCCTCTACTTTTTGCACTTTTTCCTCTACAGCTTGCAGTGACAAAAACAAATGCAATTGTTCTTGATTAAACCAGCCATTATAACAAGCCATACCATAATCACTGACTACTTTAATAGGCAATTTGTTTTCAATATTCAGCTGATGAAAGAATAAATGCTAAATTGGGAATTACAAACTGTAAAGGAGTACCATGTAGTCAAATATTCTTAAAAAGCAAACACCACAAAGCATGCAGTTAAAAATGCTGCTATTTAATGGCTGTAATTTTGCAACTTTACTTGTTCTAGTTAATTAATTATTCCAATACTTCTAGTACATACAAGTTCAGAAATATGAAAAAAGTTCATGGTGTATAAAAGCTCAGAGCATAAGGTACACATTCTTTGCTGGATTCCATTTGGAAATCAGAAAACAAAAATATTCCTACCTGTTAGCTGTTGAAAACTATCAGTTTAGCAAGTATCTTTACTATACATACTATTAACATGTTCCACTTGTTCTGTTGTTCTGGCTGTGAATAACAATACATAAACAACAAAGTGCTGCCCCAGTTATAGTGAATAAATTCACACATTTTCAATGCAGTATTTTTTATTTTTCAAGATATTGCCCTGAGCATCTTAATATTGGGCACTATGACAGAAAAGAATTTGAAAGGAAAAACCCAAAACATCAACAGTGAAAAAACGTATGACAAAAATAACTCAGTTATCAAAACTATAAGTATCTGTCAGATACACAGTGTTTAAAGACCAGTCCACCTTGCCTTCTGTACTTAAAAATGCATTGATTATGTTCTAGGTATTGCTTTACCTGAGGGGTAATCCTCGAAGCTTCATTAAGGTGTCTAGTCCATGCTGAAGTTCCCACATCTCCTTCCTCCTCCTTCACAGACCTACCTAGAGAAGTTCAACAAGTTTAAATTTTAATACTTTCAATTTAGTCACAACTTTCCGATTCTTCTAAGTATGCCACACAACTTTTAGATGGAACTATTCAGAAGGGGTATTCTGATGACAAGTTAAGTTTGCTCCAGTTTTCAGAAGTAATATTTACTTTTTATAGAAAAAAACAAAAAAGCAAAACCACAGAATACACCTTTTTAAATGTCCGCCTGATTTATTTAAAAGCTACTAATCTAATAACTACAAATCTTAAAATGTAGCTTTAAGTGACTATTCTTAGCACTGTGCCAAAAGCAGGGAGCAGCAGTTCCTTAGTTCAGATACCTACCACACTCTATGGTTTTGTGGCTCTGAGATGGCTGTCTGTCTTTATGTCGACTCCTGGAGTAGCTTTTGTGTTCCTGAAGAGAGGTTCTTTTATTTGTGCAGTCTGTGCTTTGAGTATGACCTGGTAAACATGTAGTATAGTGCAATCCTGCCATAGAAAGCATGCCCTGAATAGCTTCTTCTTCTGTACTTGTCGAGGTAGGACATTCCCTAGGAAAATCAAGGGAGTAGTAATCAGCTCAAAACAGAAGCCTTCAAAGGACTGACTTTTACATTGCTAAAAAGTAGAATCATAAATACATGCCAGAAGATCTGACAGTCCATAAAAATGCTCACAATGTGCTTACTTTTTACTGGGAGTTTCGTTTCTGGATGGCTTCTGGGTACTTTGACAAAGGTTTCTTGTGACCTTAGATTCTTCTTTGAAATTTGATGTTACTTCCTGCTTCTCTTCATCACCTGAGCTTTCTGACTCCTCTGTGGAGGAATCCTTCTGCTGAAACAAGAGGAAACAGTATGCAGAATGGTCACCAAATCTCCTAAGTGGAGACTACTGATGCCTTAGATTTTAGCTTTTATATTTTTCAGATTCTGTACTGCTTTAGTGTGCAGTTCTAAGCTTCATATTAAAGGACAGTGAGTTCTCTTCAGAAAATAGGTAGACAAAACAATTCCTTTGCTAGCTTGGGACCAAGGACAAATGATCCAAATTCCAGGTCCAAGAGCATAAACAATATGGAGTGAAGAGAGAAAAACAAGGAGGATGGGACTTCATAACCTAAAGCTGTAATTGGATAATTAACTCCAATATGCAAATGGAGCAGAACTTATAAAAGTGTGAGACCTTGTGACCGCTGACCATTTTTTGTGATCATTTTTGGGTTCACCTTGGGTGTAAGCCCTGGCTGGGCTCTTGGACTGCCCAAGGTATATCCATTGAGGCCTTCTAATAAATACCTACTTTATTCCTTTAGCTCTGTCTAGCCGCTGTTCTAGGTCAGCCTTCACAAGGCATCACTACCTTAATTTATGCTAAGTGAAGAATTTAAAAGCTTCAAGGTACAACTTTTTTTATACTTATAGTATTCAGAATGCAGTTAATCTGAATTAGCAGCTGAGATGCTATACATTCAGATTTTGTAATGTGTACTGGTAAGTACACATTCCACAATACAGAAAGCATCTCCAAAATCAATTTTTTACAAAGCACCACATATATTACACCATACACAAATCACTGCATTCTCTTTAATAAGAGTATTAATTATTCTTATCTTCAATATTCAAAGTACAAGGAAAAAATACAGAAGTATGGTTCCAAGCAGCAGACAGCACTGATGCCTATTATATATGGCAGGACACATTCTGCCCCATAAAACTGCTTCTGGTTCCTGCTCTCACAAAATATAACCTTCAACAGCACTATCTCTGATGAATGACAGATGCTCTCAGGTAAGTCCAGAAGACAGCAGGAACAGAGACACAACAGCTGTTGCCTCTCTTACAGAGGCACAGCCTCATTTCATGAGTGAAAGAGCTTTTCAGCTCCTGCTGAGATTACAGCTTGTATGGGCAGGAGCTTCTCAAAGGTGGAACAGCCATATGTGACTCAATATGCCTTCACAGGAAGCAAGGGCTACAGTGCATATGTTCCATCTTGGTAATTCAGACTAATCTAATTTCAACAAGTACAGAGAACACCACAATTTTTTTTTTCAAGACAAAGAATATATGTAACACACAACAAAGGTTTTGAAAACAGAAGATCAGAACATGAAGGAGTCATAATCCTTAAAGACTGACACCATTATCCCCATCATCAAAAACAGAACTGGAATGAATGAAGTGCATTATATCACCAAGATGTATTTTTATACAACAGTTTCATTCACATGAGCAGCTTCCTAAAATTAAAATGCAAGAGAAGATGGAAAAAAACTAAGAGAGTAAGTACAGCATAATTATAAAACATTCAGTCATTTACAAAGTCATAAAAAACTGGCTATATTCTCCTGTGAAGAAGAAATATATCACTTCTGAATAACCTGAGACTGATTCTGTGTCTTAGAAAAGGAAACCTGAGCCAAAGTTGCTGGCAATGCAGTTTAGGAAACCAGAAGAAACCACACCATGAAGGTTCCTATCACTTACTCCAACATTTAGATTAGGTAATGATGAAAGACAGCAAGTACCAAAAAAAAATGTTGACCACCATGGAAAAAGTAGGAATTTAAAGACTTCTTGTAAAGTCATATAATAGGTTGACAACTGAAAGAAAGATCAAGGCATTAGCTTTCCAGAAGCATGAAGCAAAAATGTCAGGTAGTAACTTCACCTTACTGCTAACCAATAAAAATTTAAATTACTAAATACAAGCCCAATTCACAAATGAAAAAATAATTGAAGTATTTATAGACACACACATATCTCTAAATTCTAGAAGTTGTATTAAAAAATATGTTTGTAAATATCTAGACATACCTATGCATTCATACTTCATTTAACTCTGAAGAAATCACCACAATCTAGACCCGTAAATGGAGGATTCCCATCTCTTTCCAATAGTCTAAAATCTCTGAATAGTATTTAGCCACTCAGGTTGTTTCTAAAACTGAATACCTGTAAGATTGTTTCCTATTAACCATGCTCTAAAAGGAAACTGTGTGGTAGCTACTCATTTCAATGTGGTAGTTACTCAATTCAAATGATGAAACTTAGACTTGTTATGAAAGAAATAAATAAAGTAACTAGGATCTGATTTTGCTCGTTCAGAGCAGGGCTTGTCCTCTGCCAATCCCACCTCAATGACAAAGAAGATAAAATTTTGCAAGATAGCATATCTTATATTTTTTCTCGTCACTAGAATAAATGAAGAATGAAGCAACACATTGTTTGAGATATTAATCTAAACAGAAATTATATACTTTTGTTATTGCTGCTTCAACACAGACTTTGACCAGATAAATCTCAAGTACATGAGCAAAATTATATTTAATTGCTTCATTAATTTCTGAGATTTTTTAATAGGTACCTGTGTAGTGCAATCAGGCTCAGATTCTTCTGAATCAGAAATATCAGAGTACTCTGAGGATCCATTCCTGAGTTCTGATTTCACACTTTCAAAGAACACTGCAGAGAAAAGAATTAAAATATAAGACACAACATTAACTATGTTAATATTTAACAATCATTTTCGAAGCAAAACCCAAGAAACACATATTTTGTTTTTAACACACTGCAAACAAAGGCAAATGCACATACTGATCTGGTTCACAAGTTTGCTTAGGACAACAATGAGTTGACCAATAGACTTCCCAAGCAATTGAGTAGATGAAGACAGGAAGAGAAATCAGGTGCAGCAGGAGTTTATATTCTTCCTTCCCAGAGGGCACCCACTTCAGAGATGGCACTTGGGCATTTTCTGGTTTTTTGTACAGGCTGGAGTCAGAGCAGTTCTCACCAGCATGAACCCTTAAAAGACTGCATTTCTCCCAAAGAACCACAAGCAGGAAACACATTGCTAAGTGTTTGGATTCCAAGGCTCAAGGCCAGTGAGGTGTATGTACACCTGTGTCAAGGCTGCTGGCAAAAAATTTTGATTAAGTACAAATTCATTAACGGTGGCAATGTGCAGTTCAGGTAGCATAAGTTTTTTGAAGAAAAGCAAAATAGGGTAAAAGAATTATGACTGTGTATCAAGAAAATGTGGTCTAAAGAAAGAAACATCACTTTAAAAGTATTAATAGTTTCATACAAAACAATGCTGAAAGCAAAGCTGCACAAATTGGAAATTAACTCTAGAATGAAGAGAAGTAAAATTGAAATGTTGGTTTGTTTTCAGCATAGTTTTACATGAAGCCACATAAAAGAACACAGTTTTTCCTAACTATAATTATGCAAGAATAAAGGCTATACCTGTAACTATGTATACACTGCAATTCTAGTTGAGGTTTGCTACTATTGAAGACTGCGGCAAAGATCACAATTAGGCATCAAATATATTTGAAGGGATATTACTGATTACTAAACACTGCAAGTGATAATTACCTTCAGAGTCAGAAGAAAGCTAAGATGAGACTTGTCATCAGAAAGTGAGTAAATTGAACAGAAGGGACCAAAGACTAACTAAAGATAGTATTAGAAAGAACCATGAGGAATACCCAAGCAAATTAAATGAGCAACACTGCTGTACAGGAAATTAAGCTATATAAAGTAATGCTCATCATATAATGATAAATTAATGTTTTTAATTACTGCAGCTCAAAACAACCCAAGGGATTTTTGATGATAACTCATGCTTTTGGCTCATTTCAAAAAGGCAAATAAGATTCTAAGATTAGCAACAGTATGAACAATACAGAAAACATAATTTTAGAGATCAAAAGAACTTTCCTTTACACTACTATCTTTTCCAAGAAAATATATTGTTCTGCATGCCTCCAGAGACAAGGAGGAATATTCCTGAAATTGGGTGAATGAGAATAGGCATTATCTAAGACACTGTGAATTAAGAAAAATCTCAAACAACCTTCCCTTCCCAAATCACCCACACAAAGTATTTTGCTCAATTAAGGGCTGCACTTGATCTTTGTCCCTCTGCTAACACTGGGTCACCATTTAAAACCAGGATCTTGGCACAACACACAAAGCTAGACAGAGCATGATCTGTTTAAAAGCATCTGTCTGTGGACATTCCTCTTGGCTTCAATCCCAGAAAGAACAATCAAAGTTGGCAGCTGTTCTAGGAACAGGTAGTTCCTCTTCTGGAATTCTCTGCAGACAATGCCCTTCCCCTCTCTCTCTAGAGTCTCAGTTAAGGTAAAATAATCACACATAACACACATTCAGGGAAGTCTGAAGACACTCAATATTAAATTAAAAATATCAGGAGTGCTCAAGTGTTGGAAGAACAATCTCAATGTTCACTTCTAGTTCCAAATACGTTTACTACATTTGGATACTCACTGCCATATTCATTCTGTATCAAGAGCAATACTTTTGAAGAAAAGTTACCATTTCCCTGTATGATTTAATCTTTGATTCAAGTGAAAAATTTAGTTTGATTTACTTAAGATTAATTTTGGAAGTGGAAAACCACTACAATAAGCCTTCACACAACAAGCTGTTTGCCCTGTTTTAAGAATATCCAAGAGATACTTCTCTCATGTGCAGGCTTTTTAATACTGTCCTCTGTGACATATAGAAGCACAGTCAACAGGGATTATAGTTTGCCTTGTTAATGAAAATAATTAAATATTTTATTCAGGCTGACAGCAGAGTCAAATATTACGGTCTGTTGTGCAGGAAACTCAGGGAACTGGGAGTCTCCAGAGAAGCCTTATCATCTTTTAAGTGTTGACTTCAGTTTCATAATAGACACCTTCTAAGCCCTTTTAAGCTCTACTGTGACTGAATGTGACTTATAATTAAGCAGGAAGCTGAACAGCTCTGTCAAGGACTAATTTTATCTGCACACAGGTAAAAAGATATTAAAAATAGTTATTGGCAACAGGCATTCAATATTGATACCTTACTAATACACTGATCCATTCAGTGATCATCACTGCTGAACACTTGGCAAGAGGGCTTGAGGCTACCAAAAGACCACTAGAGATTAGCTCCCAGTGACGGGTGGTTTAAAGCACTGGAAAGTGTTCTACAGATAGCCCAAGTTCTTTCCTAACTTTGCAGATACAAAGGTTGAATGTGTAAGATTTACTAATGTTAAATTATGTCTTTTCTCTTGTATGGAATAAAGAAATTCATTAGTAAAATAGACAAAATTGCACGATCAACGATGAAATTGTGAAATTCAACAGGAAAAGTAAAATATAAGGCAGGTTTAAAATTAGCCACATATTATGATCTTTCATTCTCTACAGTGAAATGATGTGATGAGCTTTTCACAATGAGGTATATTTTGCTTTTAAAACCAAAATCCAATCATCATTCTTACATTATGAAGCAGATCTAGAGTAACAAATACTCATCCAGAACAGCAATTAAATTTCCACTGTGAAAAATGCTCTCCATAGTATTCAAGACAGCACTAATATAAAAAGGTGGGTTTTACTTTTCGTCTCTATCCTGTTAGCTTCTTCAGTAGACAAGTAATATTTACTAAATGTTTTGTGTAACTCCTAATACTACTGCTCCAATTTATTTCTTTATCCTCTTTATACTTAGTTAGACTGAAATATTACAGATGGTAGTTAGACCCTCACTGAGATCATCAAAATGTTCAACTGATAGGACTTGGAGACAATCTTACTGTTCAGTGGCTTCTGGGCATCTGCATTCCCTTCTGCTTCAAATCCTGAGGGCTGGTCTTCTACCTTTACAGCTGTCTTTTTTGACCTTGTTCTGTCATCTTCATCTTCACTGTCTGCTGTGTAAAGACTTCGATCTGTAAATGGACGTCTCTCATCTCTTCTCACAAGAAAAGAAAAGAAGTCAGTTTTTACTCTTAAAAACAAGAAGCAACTGTTTTCCTTTCTTTATTTACAGCACACTCTTAAGATATAACAGTAATATTCTCTTATGCTCATCTCTTCATTCTGAATTATAGATATTCCCATTTACTTCCTATACAACTGTCATTTCTATGAAGATCCAAAGTTTAACACCAGAGTACTTTAAATGAGAAGCACTCGTACATATGGATACAAAACAACTTTTTCTACTTTGAAGCGTTCCCTTCAGTACAGACCCCTGCGCAAGTGAATGAAATGCTGTAACAAAGGACCATGCAAAGCCTCTTCACTCCCTAACTGTGGCTCCACTAGGGGACAGCAGACACAGGCATTCCTTCTGTACTCCTAACCAGACTCTTAGTGGCAAGAACTTATGAGCTCTACAAATAGAAATATTAACAATTAGCATACTCCAGACCATAATGACCAGGAAAAAGCATCCACAAGCAATCCTTTATACCTAATTATTCTTCCATTTGACAGCAGAAGGCGAAGATCATTGTCTTTTGTTCTCCATTCAGGTACTGTAGAAGAGGGCTGAAAGGGCTTGTTAAACCTCCCATTCAGTTTTGAGCTTGTGATATCCTAAAGAAGTAAAAGCAATTTTGCTTATTTTTAATTCCTATGAACTCAATTGTTTTTTTCTGCACTCTATAAAAGATTAAATTCACTAATAGGATGGTTACCACCTGGATAACCAACTGAAAAAAGCTCAGAGAAAACACATTTGGATGCAAAGCACTTCAGGAGACGACTGCATCTTCTCCTTTGTTGAATCATCTATAGTCTCCTGAAGCACTTGAAACAATTACAACTTTCCTATAATACTCCTTTTATGTTTCCTTTGGAGAAATACCAATAGACTTAGGCAAGCCAGAAGCTGGGCTTGGAACTGCTACAGCAACTCCTGGATTGGGTATGTGCTCCCTGATAGTAATATCTCAGAACTGATTTAAAGGACAGCAAGATATCAGTAACAGAAAGAAACCTGCCTTAAGCAGAACTTCCTTAGCTCAAAGCAATTTACATTTGACATATACTCTGAACCAATCTGTATCTCATATGACAAAGAGATCTAGTCTGTATTCTTACACATCTTAAAACCATTTTCTTTTCAACAGAGATTATAAAACTACTCTGATTTTGTTTTTCCTTGCGCATAACTCAATACTTGCCTCTTCCCACGGTGACATCTCCAGCCTTTTCAGTACCTCCCTAGTGTGGAGTTCCAGGATGTCCAGATTAGAAGGAGTTTTGGTAGCATGGTCTCGCAGCTTCCTCACCCTTCGTCTGGAGTGGTGAGGGGAAGCTGTTTCATGTGAAGATCGCGAAGTTGGAGACACACCAAGAATTCCCTGAGTTTTAACTAATTTGCTGTTTTCCTCCTGTAATTAAAAGCACTTTTCAGAATAGTCTCAGAGGAATAAATCCACATATTTAAGTACTGCTTCTTATTCATCTAATTAAAGGTAAATTAGGTAGGAAAATTGTTAGACCTTTTGGAGAAGTAACTACACTTTTCATTTGGATTTGATGTACAAAGTTTAATTCTACTGCACCTCTTTCTCATTTAAGGCTTTTATGCTATTCCACAAGCGTAGTGCCACCAGAACATATGGTTTTATTCGGGAAGGCAGCACAGGGTAGACATGTATTGTACACAACAGATCACACCCCCTCAGACCCATCCATCTCTTCACATGGAAATGTGAGAATTTTTCAAGAATCAATAACCACCGAAGAATAAAGGAGCAAAACACTGGTATGGGAAAGCAACAGGGGAAAAAAAAAAAAAAAAAAAAAAAAAAAAAAAAAAAAAAAAAAAAAAAAAAAAAAAAAAGAAAAAAAAAAAAAAAAAAAAAAAAAAAAGGAAAACCCTCCCTCACTCACTATGTAACACACAGCCATGAAACAAAAGAGTGAGCAAGAGATGACAACTGGACCAGAACTAACTAACAAGTAGATAGGAGAATGGAATATGCACAGAATATCAAATTCAAGTCTTTAACAACACATTAATAATAATTATTTTAAGTAGATATAAGTGACTACAATTTAGAAATAATAAACTACAAGTAATTTCACCATTAAAAAATAAAATTCAACAAAAAACACATAAAGCACCCATTATCCATTTTCTTTATCTGAAATACCCATAGCTTAGTATTCCAAACAGATTTCCTCTTGATATTCTATTGTTAAATTAATGGTAAATAAATTAAAAGGTCAATCAGAAGCATAACTATGATGGAGTTCCCTGATTCAAAGATTTATTTTCTGAAGACCTATGTAGGGTTGCCTCTGTTCTTACCTCTACAGAACGAATCACTTTAGAGAGCTCTTTGACGAGATGCCCAGGCCTAATGTTGTCTGGAATTTCGAAGGCATGTTCTGTTACAAGCTATATACAAATGGAGAAGAAAAGATACTTAAGTTTTGGGTTTTTTCCAGATAAAAACAGAAACAATATGAAATAAACAAAACTACAAGGGGAAAAAAAAGAAAAGAAAAACCAGATTCATTTCTGTAATAATAACCACAAATTACCAGGACTGATATACACAGGCAGTAGCTTCCAGTCCAAGCTTTAGTAGTCAGCAGATGTCCCTCAGTCTCTCCAAGATTCCAAAGAAGAGGTAACACAAAGCCATGCTGACAACCACTTGATTTTTTTTTACCCTCAGAACAGTAATCACCCTTTTTCCCTTTACCATGGTCAGTGCAGAGCAATACTTCCAACATTTATTAGAGTCATGACTTTAAAAACACCTTAAGACTAACGGAATTTCACCCTGACAAAATTTAATCTCAAGAATAATAAAGAGCAACCAAGATGCAAATTTTTAGACATCTTCCCGACATCTAATTCTTAAAAATTACGCTTAGCTTATTTAAAATCTAGCAGGTTGGAAAATGCAACTCAGAAAAAAACCCTATTCGTTATAAAAAATGTAGGAAGTCATAAGAGTTTATGTTCCCTTTAATCCTCTGAAACCATATCAGAGACAGATTTCATATACATACACACACAGCAAAAGTCCAAACACTCTATAGTTAGATCCAGCAAAAAATATTTTGTATGCAGTTTAAATGTCCATTTAGAACAATTTTAGTTAGAATTAAACAGATAAAACCTCACTTAACACACAGGCTAAAATGACAGACATGAATTCCTGTAATCAACTACTTAAATGAAAAACATCCCAAACACTTTCAGCTACCCACATTTCAAAAAAATAAGATTCAGCAGCAAAATGATTGCTAGAAGCAATTCAATACTGTATGTGCATTTCATTGAACCTGACTTCCTCTCAATCATTAAAACAAATGCTTTCTCCTCCTCCCAAAAAAGCTCAACACCAACATATAATCATGGTATGATTATTCATTTCAGTGCCCCTAATTCTACAGGGGAGATTAAATCAGCTGCTATTATTTACCACTGTTCATTCTTTGAATGTATCACACCTCTACACATTCACCCTGGAGAAAACAGCAGCTCTGTCACTAAACTGTACAATTTTTCCATCGTTATTGGTCATTTTAGGACCATTCAATCCTTCCTACTTCACTGTCTCAAAAAAAGATGAGTTTGAAATTCTCTAGAAAATGGCACAAAAGAATCCTCTAAGAAAATTCACCTATGAATTATGAATTCACCTCTGTTGAAAGACATACTCCATGACACAAATGCAAAAGCTTGTGAGAGGGGTTCTCATTTGAGGAGCATGTATTTGCCATTTTTCAGGAACTGTCTGAAATCCTCAGCATGAGCAGATCAAACTGCAATGCACAAAGCTCCTCCTGTCCTCACCTGCCTTCAACTCCAAACTTATCATAGCCGAACTGGCTCAAGGATGAGGCAGTAGCCAGAAAAGATGGATGCAAGGTATGGAACATGACAGCTGGTGGACAGCAGACAACACTGGCTACATCTCTGATGCTCTGCACTTCCCTCACAATGGGTGTGTCTGCTCATCCAGTGGTTTAGGAATACTCAAAGGTCTCATTAATAAGCATTCAGAATGCAGCAAGTGCAATTGATTTTTCTTCCACAGAGAAGTAGAGAATGTATCACAATCCACATGAATCACAATACCTAATGACCTACTAGACAGTACACAAATGCTACAATACTACACTACAGCAATCTAGAAAAAAGGAATGCTAATCCAATTTCAAATCAAAATAAGGATTTATATAGGCTATGTTTGATCTCAGTTCAGTAGCCTGATCACTTGGCTTGGTTATTATCCATGCCACAGATGCAGAGATGGCTTGGATTTACATGTGGTTCAACAGTTTAAGTCAAACATCTTGTGAACACTGCAACACTGCTTGCTAACAAGCCTTCATCCAGAACAGCAGAGACCAAGAGACACTGAAGAACCAACTCAGAGGGCCAGCAGAGTTTCATCTGGGATCAGTGATGTTACACAGGCTGGACCTCAGCACATTCCACACATAAAAACCACTTCTACATTTGCACCTCATGTTCTCTTTCATGTTGCTCATACTGTTGGATGCAGCATTGTGCAATTATCAAACATAATATCATACATACATGTTGCATAGTAAGTTCTCCTACAAGTAGAATTTGTGGGCAGAAAGAGCAGCGAGATCTCAAAGAGGCAGCTCAAGTCTGGCATGCAACAAGGCAATATCACAGGCAGCAACAAACTAGAATTAATATCCTCAGTCAGAATCAAACTGCATGTCAGTGAACAACATTTCCCAGGAACACTGGTTCCAAGAGGGCTTATTAGCGTAGGCACATGAAAAAACACAGAGTTAGACCAGACCCAGCTCTGTGCCAAAACAAACAAGCTTTCCTGGAGAAAAGAGCATCAGCAAAACCAGCACTGATGGCATACTTATGATTTTTCAAGGGTCAATCAATGCTGAGCAAGGAGAGAATTCAACTGAAATTAATATTCCTCAATCTGAATCGAAACTGACTCTTCAGCAGGTGTAGCTGAAATGTGCTTTCCACACCACTGACATGAATGAAAAACGAAATATATAATGACATTCCATCCCTCTACTGCCTCAGACTAGGATTAATTGACTGTATAAACACATTTCTTAAAAAATGCCCCACCTTATTACCTTATCCTCTGGCCTTCTTATCCCATCCTGAGGTAAAGCAAGATTCTACTTCGATCAGCTATAATACTTGAGCTTATTAAATGGCCTAATAGACTTGGAATAATCATGGAATCATGATTATTGGAATGTAAATCTTGATGAGTCATGATGCCAAAATCCAATATAAACTTCACCCTAGCTATGGAAACATCAGTTTTTTATTTTTTATTAAGTTTGTAAGTCACAGCATTGTTCAGTGAATACTCATGGAATATAAAATTGTCATTGTGATTCTTCCCCAAATCAGCAGTACATACTTTCAATAGACTTTTTCAGTACCCATTAACAGACAAAAATAATCTTAGACTTTTAAAGGGCATAGACCTTCACTTAGTTCTAAATGAAAAAAGAGCTCACCAAAATAGCAAACAAAATCACTTATACGTACTTCTTTTTTCATCCATAATTTTAAAGCAGTAAGTAAAGCCTTCACTCCTTGCACTAAATAGCTTGGAGGCTGGAAACCATCTTCCCTCAGTTCTAAAAAGGATACAGAAACCAATTTAGAAATACATCAAGAGAGAAAATAAAATGATACCTACTATTCAGCCAATAAAGTTGACATTGTACAACAGCACAGTAAAGGAAAAATTGTGCAAGCAAATGAAACATGGCATCCTATGCATTTATGTGCATACTGTAACAAGAATGACCACGAAGAAAACAAATCCAACCCTAGAGTGCTTCTGCATAAAACCTTCTTTTTTTAACTTATTCTTGTATGAATTAGGGTTAGTTTACAACATACTAAAGGTTATTTAGGGAAAAGGAACCCAGATCTAAAATACAGAACAAGAAATAACATATTTGAACAAGGAAAACACTTTCATTTCATTGAGAAATGTTTTAGTCAAAGGCGACCAGCAGGATGTGGGATGTAACTCTAGATTAGAATTTGCATTACTTGTCCCCTTACATATGCAAATGTCTCACACTATCATACTTCCACTTCCCAAACATTTTTTGTCACCCTTCCAATTATCACAGCTCTCCCTCACATGATTTATATCATTTTTACTCCCAAAATCAGAAGGACAGGGGGTGGAAACCACTCTGCTTCAGAAGCTTCTCTTCTTAGGGAAGCTGTTGTTCCCAACTGATTGCAATTCTTTTTCATTTTCTCTTTTGCTTCATAGGGGTAAACAGCCAAAAGTAGATTAAAATCTCTCCTCATGTTCTTGACAAATATTTCCACTTGTCAATAGCAAATGGATCAACACTAGAATCATTTGGCTCATTTTATTCCCTTAAAAGAATATACTAATAAAACACCATTCTTATGGATTATGTATTAGGAAGCTGGCAGAAAAAGTAAGGTTCTATGAGTAAACAGCTGCTCTTCTCTCAAAGGCCTCCTACTTATTAAAGGGTATGAGAGGTACTGGCAGCAGCAACCTTCTTGCCCATTAGCTGACTCCGTTGATAAAATTTTAAGAATACAATGGAGTACCACAGGCTGAATTTTCTAGATGCAATAGAAATAATTGCATGAACTAACAGCAAAAAGTAATTCAAATTAATGAATACAGCATACATGAACAGCAGCATATATATTTTGAAACCCCGAGAATTAAAAAAAATATTCAGGTGAATGCAATAATACTTACCATAAACACTTTCTGCCAAAGAAAAGTCAGATTCAAAATGTTTGTGACCCTGTTACCATTTTACAAAATGAAGCAGAAAGATATGCTTTGTTGATTTTGCTTACTGACCTGAATTTCATAAAAAGTATTGCTAACAGCTGGACATCACCATTACCCCACAAAACTGAACTGGCCTCATCCTTTATTCATAAAATAATGGATATTGACTAGCCAACACCTAATTCATGAGTCTTGATGCCAAAATTCGATTAAACTTCACATTAGCCATGGAAACATCAGTTTTTATTTTTTTATTATGTTTATAGGCCATAGCATTGGTCAGTGACAAAACATCTACTAAACCAAAGATTGAACATAACATGAGAATAAGCTTCAAAGCCCTTCCCTAAGACACAAGCCACAAGAGGCTCCTAGCCTCTGCATTCAGGCAGTCTTGGGATAAAAAGGGGCGAGGGTAGAGTGAGGTGAACCAGACACAACTTATAGTTAGCTAGACCTTACAGAAACAGGTTTCCAGCAGGAACACAGTTCCTATGGCTTCTGATGAATTTTTAAACATTAAATATGCATGAATGAGACAAACCAAAGCAAGCTTTCAAGATAAAAAATGCTCTTTTTGGAAGTAAAAGTTTTCTGCAAGTTTGTTCTGTTTGGTAAAATTTCTGAGTTGCTCTGGGGTCACTGTGAGACTTTAAATGCTCTTTTAGGAATCAAGGGCTGTTCAATGCTTTAATTTGCTGAAAGCAGAAGAGATAATCTTCAATAACTTGTACAGTTTCCACATTAGAAAAAGTTATGTGGGATTCTGATCTATTCCAAAACAGAAATTGAATTCAGCAGCCTCTTCTGAAGGTTGACTTTTGTCCTTTGAAATGCATTGTATTATTAAGATTAGACGAGCAGGCAGAGGGCAAGATACTTGAGGAAAAAAGGTGAAATCAGATAGGCACTCAAACACAAAATATACATGGCTATGATTATAGCAATTAAAGAATGGGTGAGGAATTTTGGATAAAATATACATGGGTATGATTATAGCAATTAAGGAATGGGTGAGGAATCTTAACAGCAACTCTTAAGAACTGGAGACTGTTGAGATACTTCTTGGATAAACACTGATATAAGTGATTTAATACAGCTCATAGGAACTGATGCACCTTTCCTTCAAAAGCCCTCACAGACATCTTTCCTTCCACAACCAGGAGCAGAGGACAGCAGGCACTGTGACTGGAAAGGTCAAAGAAAATTGTAGAAGTTCAAAAAAACTTCTGTGTTCAGCTGTGAGGCCACCAAGAAGGAACCCATAGATATAAGTTAGTGGGATCATTTCATAGAACTATTTGCTTAAAGTGAAGGCTATCAAAAGATATTCAGAGATCTTAAATGATATAAAAGAAGCCTGGGAGAAAAAGAGAAGGATGCCATTGTCCATTATCACTTAACAGACAATTATAGAAGCAGATACATGTGCATCTCTTAAAATAAAGCAGGCATTACCTTTTAATGTTTCCAGTAAGTTTTTGGCCACAAACCAACAGATGGCTTCAAAGAAAGGAAATTTGAAGAGATCTGGGGTTTTTAGCCTCTTCTCCATTTCATAACACCTGAATGAATGCAAATATTACAAAACATGAATGTTTTAATTATCAAATTCATTATTCAACTATGTAATCATTCAAATTGACACAATGTCCAAAATAAAATGAAATAAAATAACCATGGCCATGATAAATAAAAGAAGTCAAGTACCACATAGTTAAACCCCAACAAGACCACAGACAAGATTGAACTCTGGTCTCATTCAGGCTCTGACCTTATCAAGTTTGACTGCGGCACTTCTAAGAATAAAGTTGGACTTCATAAAACTAGGATACAAACCCAATGTGTGATCTTTTAACAGATGGAATTTTATCGGGATTCCACTGTAATAAATAAAAACAATATGTTTAGAAGACAGCTCCACATCTTGGACAAAAACTAAATACAGCTGCCCTTAGAGCAATGCTGACTTGAGGATGCTCATTTCAACTCAGTGTCGCACACCTGGGCTTGCTTAGTTTTGTTTTACTCACTTATACTAATCTCCAAAGTAGAAATTTGTCTTTTTTTTTTCCTCCTTTTAGTCACTTAAATTCTTGCACAGCCTTCATTTTGCTTTTGAAACAAACTTTGCAGAAGTAAAACAAGAAAATGTGCTTGATACACTCTAACTGAAAATGCCACTATTGTCTATGAGAGAGCCTGTACCAATTTGATCCTGGTTAAGTGCAGGAAGAAAAATCTCTATGAAAAGAATATCCTACTTACTGGGGAACAAGTACAGGAAGAGCTGAGACTAACCTGAGCTGCATGCCAATGTTGAGGTTGTGCAAAAAGTTTCCTCCAAAAGCCATACAATCCTGAGATGTAAGCACAGCGTGAATCCAGCCTGAAATGATTGTGAAACTTAATACATACATATAGTCTAAGACTGTTCTTAAATATGCATATAAGTAAAAATTATGTTCCTGGAAGAAAAAAAGCAAACAGATTTGCATTCTGTGCTAGAAACAAGTAATCTACATTTTACTAACAAGTAAACCACAGTTTTTCAGAAATCTAATGGAACTGTAGGTTTCCAAAATAATTCTTTTAAAAATATTTATCACTGGGAGGGGGTGGTAAGGATGCAGAGCCAACTTGTCAAGTAAAAATTCCGAAAGTTTTCACTCCAGTCCACAAATATAAACAACTCAAGAATGGAAAAATATACTGAACAAAAGATCAAGTCATAAAAATAAAATTTTATGTCTTTCAGTATTTACAAGTTGCTTACAGTAACTGGGTTGTTTGCACAACATAAAATCATTTAGCAATACTGAAGTTTCTCAAATAGGAATTCAGAAGCAGTCCCATAAATTATTCTAAATACAGTCATTCTAAGTCAAGTGAAATGATGATCAGTTTAAAACCCAGTCTAGACATGCTATAAAGTTTGTCACATAATTGAAATATTGTCCTTATGAAATCCACTATTCAACATGGTAAAGCATGGCCAATGTTTTGCTATTGATCTAGCTAATTACTATAGGATAATTCTAACTAAGCACACAGAAGAATACATTACAAGAGCTGCCTGATTAAAAAGTGTTATTTGTGAAATTTACACTGTGGAGCTTTAATGTAAGCAAACTACAAGGAGACTTTCTCTGTTGAGATCTCTCTTCTGATTTTGCATGCCTACAGGTGTTCTTTGACACAACAAGATGAGTTGGCCAGACATTTGCAGACTACTTCATGGTTTCACTGGGTGTAGACAAGATGAACAAGCACAGGAAGCTTCCCAGTTTGCGGAAAGATTAGACTGAATCACAAACAACTACATATTGCAAGCTAGCATTAAACCTATGCTCTAATTGAGCTAATAATGAGTACTTTTATGGCATACCTGCATCAACTTAAGATTTTATTTTTTTTACATTCCTTCTTGCTATTTTTATGCTGCACTTTTGATCCAGATCTACATAACAAGGAATGAAAACTTTGTGTAGACCACACAGAATATCCTGAATAACATTTAAGTAACTCTAAAGAGCCTCCCATTAGATGTTATTCACCTACATGCAAGATTAATTTTAGATCAGAAAACTACTCTGAACATATTTCCATGATTATAAAATAATTATGACATCCACTAGCACCAGTGCAAGCAGAAACGGCAAGTGATTTTCACCAGAGATCAGGGATTATTTTTCAAAGTCTTTACTCAGTCTTACAGAATTCCCCATTTTTTCAAATGCCTATCCTGAAACCTAGTTTAGTTTACGTGATCTTCTGCTGCACTCCATCATATGGATATGAATAAGTATGTGTGTATACACACACATGCACATGTGTATTTGAAAGTAACTTTTTATATGTAAACACATTGAAACACATGTACACAGGAGAAATTATCATCTGATTATACTTTTCTTCATGGCCATATTACAGTGATAGCTCAGATTCAGCTGATTACTTAGAAAGCAGTAACTATTTTCTGTGAGTCACAAGAAAGTTCTTCATTCTGTAATTCTGCTTTCTCTGTTCACAGATGTATGAACTTATATCCATGGACAATTAATGCTATTTCTTGCTGGAAATACATGGTTTTAAAAGCTCTGGCTGTTCAGGAATGTCAAGAGCACATAGAGGGCCTCATCAGGTAGTACTTATTCTGCACAAGCTGTGAACTACAACAGTAAATACTGAACATCACAGGCACAGAGCTATGAGAAAAATGAAGTCGTCTAGAAAGTGCAGGATGGAATAATGTACTGATCATAATCTTCAAGGCTTCTTCAGAACTAGAATTGTACACCATTTTCCTGCTCCATGTATTTAAAGCTTTCTTTCCACCCAAAGAAGAGAGGACAGCATGCAGTACAAACTTTAAATAATAAAATACTAAAAAGCATTTATATGAATAGGTTGGATAAGCAAAAATACCAAAACCTGGCAGTCACTTTATTGGCAAAACATTGTTTCATTTATTAAAGACTTGTAAGGTTATGGTATTTGGGAATTTGTGTAGGGTGAGGTGCTCTGTTTGAAGCATTTTTTCTGTTTTTTATTCTTTTATTAAAGAAGTTTAATTGTTTTGGCATTTCTCACAACAAAAGCAAGGCAAATAGCCCACCCAAACCTGTATTCTTTATACTCTAGCCTATAGCATAAGAAGTTTATGTGATGTTTTTGTAATAATTAGGCTTAGTAGGCTACACAATACTGAAAACTGTATTATAAAATTATGGTAAGAATTCAGTCTGAGTATTTAACAAATAGTGAACAATCTGCCCTTTATTAATTGGAACTACTTCCCTGATAATCAAAATCAACTTTCATTTGTTGCCTTCTCATTGGGTAACAAATACCCTTTCATTCCCTGATAATTGTTATGACTGTCAGACAATCTTAAAAGCTAATTACTTGTTTTGAAAATCTAAATTTCTAATTTTTTTATTATTCTCTCTTATCCATAATTTTAGAGGATCCCAAATGTTGATAATGCAATGAGTTTAAGATTTTCATAATTCCTAGTAATTAAACTTGGTAAGCCCTAATACCAAGAGTAAAATCTTACCTGTTGGAACAAACAAAGTGTGTCCTTGCTTCACAACACACTTGTAACACTTGTCAACCTTGTCCCCAAAATATACTTCACTTTGGGTGACAGATGAACTCCAGGACTCATAGAGAGCCAGATTTTCATCAGTGGGCTTGATCAAATAGAATATCTTCTCACCCTATTAAACAAATATATCAAAACCAAATAAATTAATGTTTTCCTAGAGGTGCACTACAACCTCTGAGTCACTCTGACTTAAGTAACAGATTGACCTAAATGTAAAGTATTCCATCTTCCCACTAAAGCATGTTCAGGCAGTGTCTCACAAATGCAATCCACCAAGAGCTTAGATATAGCATATTAAACAGGTGGTGTCTTGTGATTTAAAGGAAGCAAATAAACCAACCAGAACTTTTCACTGGAATACAAAAAATCCAGTTTTTATAAACAATTCATGATATGCACACACCTACCAAAGGAGAAAACAAGTGGCTGAAACAACTTTGCCTTTTCATTCAATTATTTTTTTTCCTGCTAAAACCCCACTATATCACCCAAAAGTCTCCTGAAGTGATCAGTCAACCAATTACAGTCTACTAGTCACCAACAGCATGCTAAAATAAAAGCATAAAAAGGCAACACCAGAAATCAGTAATTCACTTTAAAGCTCCTCCCTTAGCATTGCAAGCACAAGATTTCATGCAGGTGATAATGCCACAACAGAAGGCTGCACACTGAATAACTTTTGTTTCACATAGTCATTGACATCCAAGGGGTGGCTGGGCATTGGAACAGGCTCCCCAGCAAAGTGGACACAGCACCAAGCCTGACAGAGCTCAAGAAGTGTTTGGACAATGCTCTCAGGCACATTGGGTGACTCTTAGGATGTCCTGAACAGAGCCAGGAGTTGGACTCGATGATCCTCATGGGTTCCTTCCAACAGAGCATAATTCTGTGATTCTGTAAATCAAGAAGCATTCATACCCAAAGAACGTGGTACCAAACTGATGTTCCTCCAAAATCAATATGAAAATCTGTATAGCTGTCCTGGACACCCATTAAGCAATACTTCTGAACAAAAGGCTTAGGGAAGACAGAATCATCTGGCCAATAATTTTCCACCCAGGAAAGCTTTCTGGCAATGTCTGGTACTTCCACTAATTCAGACATCCTTTAAAAAAACAAACAAAAAAGAACTGTTAATATAAGCAGGGCGTAAGCACACCTATTTTTAAATGGCAGCTTCCTACAAAGACATTACTTATGAACTAATAAATATGTTTTATACCCACATTACATGACAGTGGCTGTCTGCATAAAATACACCTCCTCTTGTCTTTCCCACTACAAGCATTATATTCCTACACATATTGTTCAGCTTAGTGAAAACCACTTCCTACATTCAAGGAACAGAAGTCAATACTCACTTTGTGTCCGAGAATTCCAGGCTGATCACATTCAATACTTTGGGTCGGTCAGGATTTGTGAAGTATTTAATGTAATTATGAAGCTTCATTTTACTGTCTGCTTGTCTTGCTACATCTATGACATCTATCACTTTGTCACCACCTGTGAAAAACAGGATGACTTTCTTAAGGCTATCACAGATAAAAGACATTTCAGGAATTTAAGAGAAAATTAGCTTTTTCCAGTCTTTATCAAAGCATTTCTGAAAAAAACCTCTGCTACTATCATTCTCTTGGAAGAGAAACAGATCAGTATAAACCAACTTTTCACTAGGTTTAACTTTAATTACTATAATCAGCTAAGGAGAGAACTGAAAGCACTCTAAAAATAAATCCTCTTTCCTGTGGTTAACCAAAAAGAAAAAGTAGTATAGAATGGCTGCATCTGTTAAAAAAAAAAAAAATTGGGTGTTTGGCTGCAATTGTCAGGAGCATCATGGATAAAATTTTCAAGGCAGATAGATCTCTTCCTCACTTTTCCTATCAAGCATCAACAAACACCCCCCCCCCCCCTTTCTTACATACATGTGCAACTTGCAAGCATACAGTAATTTCACTGAATAATCATGGGTGTGTTTAATTTCTGATGACAATAAAGGGGGGTTATACACCATATGCTCTGAAGTGATACATTTGGAGAAGTAGACAAGCCAAGAGAAAGGACCTTATAACAGCACTAACCACCACTGTAACAGCAATTGGTTTACGTCCTTTTAGTTACACAATGGCCAAATTTGACACTTAATTTTGAAATGCTGGAAACATGCCTAGATGTACAATATAAACATATTCACTTAAAAACTGTAGGTTTGCATCATCTTGATAGATTCCAGCTGCAACAGTACTTATTCTGTTTTTTTCTTTTAATTTCTGAAATAGGAAGGTGAATCTGTGGCATTCCAATTTTTTCCCTGAACTGGAAAACTTGGCAGGTCAGGATTAGACAGTTAAGTTCCTATCTGAATCCAACGAGGCAGTAATCCAGAAAAACAAAAAAAAAGATTCAGAAATATCACCATGATATTTAATCTTTAAGGCAGAACCCACATTACTATTTGTCATCACAATGGTGACAATACTGCATATTCTGTTGCCTCTGTAAAATACTGATGGACAGAAAACCTACTTTCAGCACACATCATTACATCGGCTGATCATGAGAACACACTCAGACTCTCAGCTGTACCATGTGTTTCAGGAAATGTCCTGCTGCACTTAGCTCAGCCTCTGTACTGCACACACACATGAGGCTGGCACAATTACAGACTGCTAAGCGATCCACTAAGAAATAAGTGGTTTCTTGGGAAGCTTCTCCTGGCAAAGGATGCCCAGGAAGGGAATTTTTCAGGAAGATTTAATTCAGAAAGTCCAATTTACTGAGTCCAAAACATCAAGTTTTGTCATAGCCTTACCAATGATTAAACTTATTAATCATAAGAGTGATTAATTCAATTCCCATTATCCTTGGTTTACATGTAGCAGGAAAAAACTTCAGCATTCCACATATAGCTTGCACTGAAATTAACAGGCTTTAAAGTTGAGACATAAGGCTGTAGTCCTATCACACATCTACTAAACAGACACACAAATTAAAAAAAAAAAAGAGGAAGAAAAACCACTCCAAACCATAGCGTTGATTTTACTCTCTCCTAGTCTTGAATTAAGAATAAATATTTAGCATTCTGGAGGCTCTTACAATCATGCAAATATTTATTTTAATTTACAGACAGGATAATTTTAATAAGTACTCCAGAGTCACTCTTACCTACATAGCGTTCCACATCTAAAACAGAGAAAGTTGGTGGAGGAAGTCTGAGCCCCAGACCATCTAATTTAGGAACCATAATGGGAACATCAAACCCATGTTTCTCCAGATATCTCTGTGTTAACTGGCTTCCATGCATTCTCAAAATTACTTCATCAGCACTGGTGGAAAGAAAGGATGGAGTATTAGCAGAAAAGCATCCTCCAAGCACTACTGAAATAAAACAAGTGTCAGGGAGACTTGTTTTATCAGTTTTATCAGTGTGGGGGAGGACTGATGCAACAGCTACATCTGAATCAAAAAGAAACACACAGTATTGTTTTATAAAGCATTTAACTAAAAGACCAAGAAAACCTCAACAAGCAAAGAAATTTTTACTGGAATGCATTATCTGGAAATTCAGTCCTGCTGTATGACTGAAGAGAGTAACTTTAAAAGATGGGGAAAAGGAATTCTCAGAGAAGGCATTAAAGTACATTTTGCTAATAACAACCACCTCCTGCTCTAAAGAATTGTAACTCATTATGCTTCAGTTCAGGATCACGTTCAGGATCAAAGTATAATCATGTTTCTCTACTTTCTTCTAAAGCATGCAAGAATAGGTAGACTACCAGTTCATGTGAATGTTCCATGTTACTTGGAATGAAACTGAGAACTACTCCTAACTAAAGGAATAGACAGACAATATTCTGACAGCGAGAGCCAAACAAACAAAAGCAAAACCAAATAAAACCACCCACCCCAAAACTCAAAACCTCTCAGACCACCCTGCAGCAGTCCCAACAAACAATCCACCCCAGTGCAAAACTGAATAGGGGAAGCTACTACATTAAAAGGCAAATGTATCCATCTGAAACAGGGATGCATGGCAAGAATTCTGAAGAGGGAGGAAGCCATTCTCAACCTTCACAATGTGAAGCAGCGACACATCAGATGACATTTCATTGTGTTTTCCCACCAGAATATGTAAGGAAGGTTCTGTACCTTGGGAAAGAGCGAGCCCGCAGCTGTTTAACAAAGATCCGTGTTCCAGCCTGCACTGGTTTGGAGCCATCATCTGGTTCTGTGTAGTCATGTCTGTGCCAGTTTCTCCTCTTTTTCACTACAAGTTTCAGAAGGATTAAACATGGAATTAGTTAAATCAGATGGCACAGTCATCCCATCAGTGAGACAGACATGCCTCAATCACATTACTGTGATTAACAAACCTTGTATTTTTAATCAGGTGACACACTACCCATTTCCAACAAATGAAATCTGCAAGACACAGTTACTCTCTGTACTTTTAGAGCTCCTTCTGTGTGAGAATCCCAGTGCACACTATACACAAGCTAAGACTCCATATCCAGTCTAACACAAGTAAACAGGTGCAGCCTGAAAGCCGTACAAACCCAAAAAGTCAGCTACAAAACAATCAAACTTAAATTTCTAAAAGCTCAGACTTTTTTTTTTTTTAATAAACAAAAGAATGACACCTCTTGCATAGCCAGAGACATCATTTTACATATTCACACAAGGTTACAAGACTTAATCCAACTGTGCTACTACACTCCATAAGCACGCCCATACTCAGTCTAATAATTTTACTGCTATTCACTACCATTTCTACTGCTTATGTTAGTTACAGTTTTGTGTGCAAACTGTTTTGGGCAGGTGTGACCTTTACAATACATGTAACAAAAGCACTGCACTCCAAAACATACAACTTCTTAACAGTTTGAAGCTTTAATGCATTGCTATAGCATATTAATAAAAAACAAAGGATAAATTAAAGTTCTATTACAATTTTGTGCTTCTGAATCTGATAGTTCAATAGTACCAAAATTACATTTCTAACTGCTCATTATACTTAAAGGACCAAGGAAATTGAAACACTAGACATTTTCATAAAAACTTGTTGCGATGCTCTCCCCTATGACAAATGACAGATACCCAAATGAAAAAAAAAAGTATGTGTAAAAAAAGTGTATGTACTTTCACAGAACCATAGAATAGTTTGGGATGGAAGGGACATTAAAGATCATCTAGTTGCAACATTCTGGCATGAACCTTCCACTACCCCAGATTATTCAAGGCTCCATCCAACCTGGCCTTGAACACTTCCAGGATGCGACATCCGCCACTTCTCTGGGCAACCTGTGCCAGTGTTTCACCAATCTCACAGTAAATAATATCTCCTTTAATCTAAATCTACTCTCTTTAAGCTTAAAGCCATCACTCATTGTCCTATCACTAAAGACCTCAGTAAAAAGTCATCTTATTTCTTACAAACCCCCTTTACACACTGGAAAGTTGTTCTATAAAACATAGTAAGTTGTATGTAGTCTCCCCACTTGAATTTCTGGACCTTGAGTGAAGGAGAAGACACAGTGACTTATGATATTGTGGTTAACTTAACTGCCTGTCTTCAAATTTTCATAATTTCATAACAAATAATTTCATAATGGATATTTCATTGATTTGACTTCCTCAACCACTCATTTTTCATCTCCATTTATAAAGAACACAAGCTTACAGCCTGGAACGGAAGCCCTTGGTTGTATCATCTGTTTGCTAGTAAACTGCTCTTTGGAGCACTTCTCCCCTGTACAAACAAACCTCTATTTCTCATCCTCAAACTCTCAACAGGCTGAGCAGCCCTATTTAATCATCAAGAGGTGCCTCTGCAAAAGGGACCACCATCTCACCATTTGGGAACTAAACTCCAAGAGTGCTGAACATCTTACCTTTATCACTTACTAAACTAAGAAACACACTAAGGGTCTCGTAATTTTAAGGCTGCATTTCAGTTTTTTCCTAAAAAAGCCAAACTGTGCTCCATAGCTAGACAGATGCTGCTGGAAAACTGCCCCAAGAAGATTTACTGACACCAGATCTATAATTTAACTACTAATATTAAACCGAAATTTAGTTGCATATGCTGAGGAAACTCAGAAGAGGAAAAAGCTGATGTTATTTGTCAACACAAATAGTGTTTTACAGCTGTCTGCCAAACAGCCCAAAATACAACATCCAGCAAAACCACTGCATTAATACAAATTTTAACTTAATGGAAGAGCTCATTCTTAAATTCACCTAACCAATGACCCACCCAAAATGTAAAAAAAGCACTAGCAATATTGAAAACACAGCTCACTGTAATAGGAAGCTGAGGATGTATGAGGAACGGGAAAATAGTTTCTAAAAAATAAAAAAAAATTGCTGCTTCTGCAGATAAAACAGTTGGTTATACAGGAATAATGGACATTTACAGTCATTACACATAAGCGGGAATAATTCCTATTGGTGTGCTGTTTCCCACAGACATGACAACATGGACCCTTTAGACGATTTTTAAGATAATAAACTGACATTTATAGATCTTTGCAAACCTGAAAACCAGTGCTGCTTAATGAGCCAACTATCCAAATACTGTAAAACTTCATAAATAATGAAGACAGGTTTATTAAGTTTTCAAAGCTATTTTCTCAGTCATAAATAATAATGCAAGAAATTAGTGGCTAATACTAATTTTCAACAGAGTAGTTTCCCATAAATTCACTGCTGTTACAACAGCTCATTAAATTTGTAAGGCGATACAACTGCTTAAGAGATTTTATAGCACAGACACACTTTTTAAAGTCTCTCTTTCCAATGCTTACAAATTAGAAAATAAAATCATTCTTTTGCTTGTCCTTGGCAATGTACATCATCCTTTCATAAGAGAACACTAAAGAAGAGGAAACAGTAATGAAAACTTCCTCTGCTTACATATCCCTTCATTTTAGAGTTTTTTAACCCCTTAAGACATTACAAAAACAATTGCAAAAAAACCTCATTTTATCTGAATGGATACTAATACTCAAATTAAGGAAGATGCCAGTGTTTACCCTTGGTGCTTATAAAAATTGAGGCAAAACCTGCTGTGACAACCCTAATAACTACACAAGACAGTTGCAGGAAGGGTGAGAATAAGAAGAGTGTGCTGGAAGTTTACATGAAAATTAAGTGGAAAGATTACTTTTCCTTTTTATATTACATCCCTCCTACACTCAAAACAACGGGCCAATAACTCTTCCCTGCCTTCTCCCACTACTGGACAGTTTCCCATAGAGATCATCATCTGCTAGACTTCAAATGGAGACCATCAAGAGGTGTACACATGTACAATGAGGCCCCAGGTCCCGGAAGAGGTACTGGAGATTCCCAGTGGCCAAAAAACAAAAAGGCAAGAGAAGTCTTGGCACAGGAAGACTGCAAGATTTTAAGGAGCAGACAGTAAATCACAGACTACCCTGCCAAGGCCTGGTCTAACATCTCATTCTCAGCTCAGACCAAGCATGGGCATTAAAACTATAAACAAAAAGATATTGGTTGGACGGTATTTACAGGATTGAGAAGGCATAATCAGATGCAGAAAGTCATGTCCTGACAACTACAGTCTTATTAGCATTTACTGAACATTGTGCTTTCTCAAAGCTCTGGACACCACAAGATGGTGACACATCTGACTCATAGCATTCATGCAAATAGAGCATTTTTAGACTCAAGGATCACTGAGAAAAGTTTGAAACTAACAAAATTAATATGAATACTCTAAATCAAATAATCTTAAAAAAACATCCTCCACCATATATTACCTTTTTTTTAGATTTTTCTCTTTTTAAATGATTTACGATTCTAGGATTCACTATTTAGCATTTTATAGACACAGCTGCTTGCTAAACGTCTTGTAAAATTGTTCTTTCAAATTTTTTTTCTTAAATACATGGAGAAATTGATTTGTTAATTTCATCTTTCCATCTAACTATGCAGTAGCTTTCTTTTCATTACTGGAACTTTTACACAAATAATTTTGTAGGATACTGAAAATAACCATCTATTTGTACTGTACAGTATGTGTTTCTTGTATATTTTAAGTAAATTTTTTGCACTACCTTATTTGATTACATATTCTGTTGAAACCACAGATATACTTGCCTCTTCAACAGCTGAATTTTTGTCTCTTAAAATTCTTTGGCAAAGTAGTTTCAGACCATGAAGGTGTAAATTAGAATGCTTTTTTTTACTTACATACATAATCTCATAGGACTAAAGTACTCTGGAATCTTTCTGCATGACATGGAGTCATGAGACATTATCAGTCTCTTTAAAAACTGAAGGAAGTAGGGCCCAAACCACAAACTACCATAATTTGATACTGACAGCTGAGAACAATTAATGAAATTCAATGTGAAGACATATTTAATTATATCACCTCTGTCTGGGTTGGTAACTGACATGTCTGAAGCTTCTACTAAATCTAGATTATCTACACACTTGAGGCAATATGAAATAACAGGCATAATTTTTTACACAGATTCTTGTCTTTTTGAAAAGACTTCCAAAACAAAAATCCCTCGTCTCACTGTCTAATTGCTGCAGATGAGACAGCATTTACATTACAGGAAAGGTAATTTACAGGCATCAGGGTGAAGCAGACTAATTCTCACTAATAAAGAAAAGAAGTTTCAAATTTACTAGTTTATTATTTTTAAAAGTCTCATATGATCTCTTGTCTACTCCTCTTCCTAGTCCCTCTATTCCACAGAAAAAAAAAAGAGAAAGAAGTTTAGGGGGAAAATGGCTGTTGTTTGTATTCTGATTTATAAGACAAACATGCAGATTTTGAACCAAAAATGACCACTGGAATACTAAAAACTACAAGCACAAAAGCCAGTATTTATCTTACCTTTTAGCTGACAGACCATGAACTCATATATTAGGGAAGCTACATATCATGCAACATGTATTAATTAAATCACCAATTAATGCTTAATCACTTTGTTCATACTCCACAATACTATCGCCGAGGGTGGTTTTAAACTTATTTCTAAATATAAATGAAATTCGGATTTGAAAATATTAATCTTAAGTCAGCATTAACTATAAAACATTATGTGGTGTCTTCAACAGGAAAAAACCAAATAAAACAAATAAACAACAAAAAACCAAATAAACAAAACAAACAATAAAACAAAACAAAAACACAACAGACAACAAAACCCACAAACAAACCTGCATTAGAAAACACAAATGACCATGGCCCAATGCCCACTCAGGAGGGTGAAGACACATTTCTTAGAAATACTTTTCACGTCTGAATGTAGAAATTTAATTCACGGTTGGAAAAGTGAAATTTATTTTTAGATTTTTTATAACCCTGTCTCATTTGAGAAGGGGAGACATGCAGGAAAATCTAGAGAGTTGGATAAACCAGTATCCTTTCAGTGGGTACCAAAAGAAAATTGTTCCATTTTTCCACTGCAGATCTCTACAGCAAATTTATCTACTGAAAGTAGAACCCAAGAGATGTCTCTTTTTGCTCTGTTTCAGACTCTTCTGGCAACTCATTTTGACCCTGGTGAAACCTTGTTTATAAATTAGAAACCTGAGATTTGGAACCTTGTAACTTTCAAGGACATAAATGAGGGGAAACAAAATCAAAAACAAACAGCAAAAAAGAACAAACATCATTCACAGAACGTTCATATTCTGCTGTCATTGTTGAAAAGTTGTGTTTGACTATTGTGGCATATACCCTACAACCATCAACAAAGGAAAGACACCCAACTTGTACATTTCTTCAAAGTTGCCTTCCTAGGTATTTATTAGAACTTTGATAATTAAAATACAGGAACCTTGAAACCATCTTTTATTTTTCTTTTTTTTTTTTTAATGATGATTCCCTAATTTTCATTCTCTCTGCAAGTCCAGATTGTTTTCTACTACCTCTGTGCACTTTAATTTCTCCAATCTATAGCCATGCCTTATATTTTATTCTATCTGCATCTCCACATCAGGGAACGTTTCAAGATGGTTTGTTTGTTTTGCAGGTTTTTAATCAGCTCAGAGTTAGTCATGTAGAACCAGTACCTTCTAAATAATCAAACTCATTTTGAATATTCCTCTGAACAATCCTTTGCAGTTGTACATGAGGAGAAAACAGTCTGAACATGTAAGATTAAATTTGAATAACCCATACTTACTTAGAGAAGGTCCATGGAGAATTGCACAGTTGGGACAATGGTATAGATCAATGTCAACAGCATGATGCTCCTCTACCCCAACGCAGCTGGAATAATATTTTTTACATGTTAATGAGAATGTACACAGGGTTTACTTTTCAAGCTAAAAAATAATTAAATCTTAGATTTTTATTAAAATGTGCTTACTCTACAAAATTTTAATGAGATACCAGGTTATCTCCACTACTGGGCTGCCACATAAATTTTGAGTAATCATTTATCATTGAACACAGAATGCCATTAAAAAAATCATAAACAGGAAACAAGAATCAAATTCCTTTAAAAATTAGCAAATCGTAATATATACACCATCACCCCCCAAAATCTTGATCCAATGAAACAGTTCATACAAAATCATTCAAGCAATTTTCCTCACGGAAGCTGAGTTTAAAAAAAAAAAAAAAATCTGAGGTTTATGTGCTGTAATTTATAGAAGATATATTGGATATTTTCCTCTTCTTTTTTTTTCTTTACACAAAAAGCAAGTAACTGACTCCTACCCCCCAAGACAAATTAATTAAGAATTCTTTCATGTTATTCTTGAAATCTTTACAATAGAACTGGCTTTGTAAACAACACAAGTAACCACACAAATAACTTAGCAGAACTTGGTTTAAAATAGCAGCAAGTATTTTAAAGAGTGCTTGAGAGATGTAATGTTTTCTCAGTGGATATTTTTTTCCAGATAAAACAGTCAAAATGTGATTAAAAGCTACTTCTTTACAACAGTCATACAAGGCTTCTACTCTGCTGACACCTAAACAACAAAATTTTTATGTCAACTGAGTACATTTTCTTAAAAGCTGAAATGCTAGAGGTTAATTGGAGAACATGTGCTTTTGCAGGAAGTTCTTAAGGAAAAAGAAACAAGTAATCCCTGCTTACTGGTCTGAATCCTGGCAGAGCTCTTCATTCTCTGAAAAGTTCACTGACACTTACAAAACTGCTGACTTTACAGTTAATACAGAAAAACAGAGTACGACCCTGAACATTTACACCAAAATTAGGTATGTACACTCAATGCACTCTAGTAACACAAGAACTGGAACAGTACCCCAGTCACGTAACCCATTTCATATCAAGTGTAATGAATGCTTATACACTGAAGCTTTGAAATGATCCAGCTACACAAAGTCTTTTCCTCAGCAACCTTGTGCCAAGACTGCTGACACACTCCAGCAAGTGTCAGTACATGCTGCCAAAACAATACAAGAAACAGTCTAGCACTGAAAGCACAATGGGCAAATCCAACCTGAAACTGGAGAGGATCTCCATGTAACTATCAATGGGAGTGCATTCCAAGTTCCCTCTAAATATTCCCCTAGTTCTACTTCCCCCATTCCCTACATACCAGATTAATTCCAGAAATTATTTATTTTTTTTTATATGCATACTATTTTAATATCTAAATACAAAACTCAACTGCCATAGTTCATTGCAATTCTTGCAATATTTAGCAACCGCTTTAAGACCACAGCTATAAGAATCATTGTTACATGAAAATCCAGCTAACATATAAACAAAAAAGAAGGCAGAAGCAGTCTTTAAAAATGCATGTCCCATTTCCTTCTGCTTGTGTTCTCTCTCTTTTTATAGAATAGATGAATGACTCATAATCCTATGCATTATAAGAAAATTGTTTTAAAATGCACATTCTAAAAGCCCCAAATCAGAAGGCTGGTTTTATACATCTCTAAGAATCTCATAATTTTAGCTAAATTTCTAATTTCTGAACAGCTAAATATATTTATGTTGAACTGTATCTTGATCAAGTTTGCACTTCATTTATTCCCTTCCCTTTTTCTTGGTTTTTATCTGATACATTCATCATCATTCCAATCAGATTATCTTGCTAACAGTAAGAAATTTGCATAAAAATATAGTAAAAATAGCTTTGACAACTATTTGTCCTATTCTGTTTAAGAATCTTAATTCTATTGTATCTTATTGAATGTTACAGATAACAGAATTTCTGCTTTATTTTCGGGCTTAGTACTAACAATTAACTCCATAACCTTTCATGAAGGCACATGGGATTTTGTGTACAGAGACTGGAATGGTATTATAATATCCAGAATAGCCATTCAATAAGGGAAGCAAACATTTTCAGTCTGCTATTTATCCTGTAAACTCAGCACTGGAAACACAGAACACGAACTGGAGATCATGGAAGTGTATCCAGCAGCAGATGCCTGACTGAAGCGAAGGGCAGCACCTGCAAGAACAAGCATTGCCAAGGATGCCACAGAGCCCATCAATCACTCACAGCACCATTACAAGTCACTTCTCTGCATCCCTTTCTCCAACATACACAGATGAATCTGACATTAATCACCCTGGCTACTAGCAAGCAATCAATTACTGTGGTAAATGCAACTTCAGACCTCACACATCAAAACAAGGTCACCAAGAGGTAGCAGAGAGCCTGGAAAATATTAACATACTCAAACACTGCAACACTCCCAATCTACTCATGTTTTCCTGTATGAAATATTATTACCCTTCACCTTGCAATCAACCCAATCCATTTGGGTTGAAGTGTCTTGAGTATATATTACCTAGTTTCTGAATTGCTCATCTCCTACAGGGAGGTCACAGACTAATCCTCAGGAACAGCGGAAAGCTTACAGTATTAAACAATAAAACACAATAATAGTAATTTGAAAAAGGAAAAAATAAACCACAACATACAAGACTATGCAAAAATACACCTTTAATTCTGTTCATGCAAGTGAAAAGGCTAACCAGGCCCAATTTCACTTGCAATGCTCTAGAAGGAGTAGCAAAGTAGAAAAAATTTAGCTACAAATAGATTCCATTACATCAGTCTTGGGGTGGTCAGACACTCCAAGCTTCCCATGGCTGACCATCAAGGGAAGGTCAACAAGATGTAGCAGAAGATTTGGGAAGTGCAAAGTTTTTTCATACAGAAGAACATGCCCATCCCAGCATCTGAAGAAATCCCCTGCTACTGTAAGTCTGAGGAACCCATTCTCCCAACTAAATCTCACTAGAAGGCGTATGTGCATGCTTTTGATTTAGTCTCAGCTTTCCAATTGATCATTACATTTGTAGCTATGTAACAGCAGCAAGTGTAAATGAAAAAACAATCAGAAAGAGGACTCTAACATCTGACAAGTACCAGTAGACCCCTGCTTTTCAGTAAAGGGCAAATAAGGCTTCTTCTAGGGTACAGGTGGAAGCCCAGCAGAGACTGTTCTCTTCTTCAGTATTGTTATTAATTTAAATTTTAAGTGACGGGGACCAATAATTCAGAATGACAGATTAAACAACTATTTCACAATTACACTGGAATGTCTGGTATAAGGAGTTTGCAGAAGTCCAGGACAGTTACAGGAATTTTTATCCCTGGAGACTGCATGGCTATACATTGTAAACCACCCAAGGCACCTGGCACATCTCTCCTACAGCAGCACAGTGTGAATAAATATTGGATCCTGTCAGTCACCACACAGGCTGCTGCACCTTCCCTGCTTGCTCTCAACCCAGCCTGGCTTTTCTCTTCTCTGCTTCTGATATTATCAAGCATAACCAAAACATTTTTAGAGATTAACTGCCTTCACTGGTATGACTGAAAGAATCCTGATTTAAAAAAAAAATCCAAAGCACTCTTGATCAAAAGCCTTATTTTCAGTGTTCTTAAGGGTATAGGACTATATAGCTGTGGTCTTTAAAAACTAATTTATTAAAACAAGTAGTATATGTACCCTACCATTAGACAAAATTCCCAATGTAAAAGGGAATACTTACGTAAAAAAGCACTACAAATGTCAAGAAATGAGCAAAGTGTGGATTCCCATTTTCCTAGTTTAATTCCTAGATTAAACCAGGAAGATATTCCTGCTAGGAACATTCCAAGATGTCTCAGGCATACTGAGACTAAAATCTTGAAAATTGAGAGACATAAGCAATTCTCAATGATCTAATAAAAGGACAACAGAAAACAGATTAATCACCTTCAACAGAAAAAGAGCTGATTTGTCAAGAAGCTGGGTTGTACATGAGATATCATCCCCTTGGATTCCCTCTTCTGCTCCTTCTCCCTGCTGCTTTGTTTCCATAAGGTCCTTTTCCACCTCTTTCAGCAGCATGTGCAAAATAATCGAATAGGCTCATCTTTCTATATGCACTTGGACTTTTTAGGAAGTCTACCACAATAGCTTCCACTCCTCTCTACACCAGCACTATAAAGCTTCACCTCGCAGATGAAGAAACAGGGCAGGCCATCTACTATTTCTTCAATAGATATTGTTGGATAGATATTATTTTACAATTAGATGTTGATTTACAGCCCAAAACTAAGCCAGTTTTTTAAAGTTTCTTATTTATTATTGGAACACATGAAGATCTGGCCCCAAGATCTCTTGGTTTTCAGTGTCTAACCTGAACAATTTGACTTTTTTGTGGTCACTGTGCAGCAAAAATGCAGGTATGGGGCTCTTGCTAGTATCATTAGTTAAGCATAAACCCTTCGCCTTTTCCAAGCTAGAAAATTACTAAAAATTACATTTTGCCAGATCCCCTTATATTCTCCCTGAATAAACTGTGGACAACCTTCTTCTTTCTGTACCATCCTTTCTCTGTACCCATTCTGATCAAGAACTCACCACATCCCCTTGTCCACCCTTACATCAGCACCTACAACCTTTCCTTGACATGCCTCAGTGAGCACTCCAGGCTTTATCCATAACAGGAGGGGAAAAGCACAGGTCTTAACATCCAGTAGGAAAAAAAAAAGAAATCAACAAAAAAGAAGAGTGGAAAAATACTAGGGGTATTAAAGCACATTCCCTGTTACCAAGAAAACAGGGCTACAGACAATTAGTAGAGGTATAGGCATGTTTCCTATTATCTGCCAGAGCAGATCACCAAAATCCTTTTCCAATTTCCAGTCATCCACAGAGCAGCCAAGATAGATAGAACTGAGTCTCTGGTGGGTCTTAACAGTGATGAGAACAGCAACAAGGCAATGCTGGAGGTAGCAAAGATTCATTAGTACCAGGATAGACTTAATTGTCCCAAAACT